TCTAAAATACCCCTTTCTCACCACCCTCCACCCCACCACTCTGCTGTGCCCATCCGGCCCATGGCAGAGGTACCCCTGTGGGGATGTTCCAGCTGACACAGGGGACAGATGGGAACAGCACTCCTGCCTCCCATAACAGCCAGGTTCGGGGATGGGGAAGGCTGGGGGGCCTGATCCTGCTCACAGCACTAAATAGGCAGGGAAAGCCTGTCCATGCACACCCCACAACCCTACCCCCCCCCATAATTACAACCCTCATTAATCAGGCTCATTACTGCCCACAATGAAAGCCCCAGTAGAGATGACTGTCCCCACCCCCCCATAAATCACCCCCTCCCATTCACTGCCATGACAAGCCCAGGCCCCTCAGAAGGGCAGAGACAAGGGTCATGCAAGAGGGATACTGCCCATGAGCATCTTTCAGGGCTCGTTTTCTCAGCAGAGGTGCACCAACAGGGCACATAGCCCAGTCCCCCCCATGGGTACCAGTGATGTGGGCACATACCCCAAGTGAAGGCCAGCTTTGTTAGGAATCCTCTGTGTCCCCCCTCCCATCATCTCCATGTGCCAAGGCCCCCACAGCAGCTTCCATGAGAACTATCCCCGCACTGCCCTTGCATGCACAGGGGACATGCACACCTCGCACACACACAACCCCACGTACACACCAGGGCACATTCATCTGCGTCACGCATACAGCCCAAGGCATGTGCAGGTACCCATGTCTGTGGGCTGGGGGACACCCCTCTAACAGGGGTTCTGCACAGCTACTGCACCCAGCACACATGCACCCATGCCGGGACATGCACCCCATGGCAGCTCCCCAGGGACCTGCTGTGCACCCACACTGATGCAAGCTGCCACACACTCACCTCAGCCACATCTGCATGCACATGAGCACACATGCACAGGCATACATGTGTTACACACCCCTGTGAGTCCCTGTTCTCACACCCGCATCAGGGACACATGGACACAGGGATGGATCTGGCACCACACAACAGCCAGCCCACCCTCACCAGTGCCCCCCACCTCCCCTGTGCCCCTAGCAGCTCACGGTCCTGTGTCCCTGGCACCAGATGGGGTCCCGGAGCAGCCAGGGGCTTCTCTGTCCTCCAGGCTCCAAGCTGGGTCCCTGGCCTGGAATATACTGGCCTGTCACCACCCTGCAGTGACACTCCCCCAAGCGCTGCCCAGCGGTGGCTTTGGCACCCGCTTTGCTGGCATGGTGCAACCGGAGCAGCCCATGCCATCCTGCCAGGCACAGGGCAGCTTCCCAAAGGGTAAGAAACCAAGTGAGGGTGGTGCAGTGGGAGCCCAGCACCCTCCACCAGCTTCTCCCCTCCTTGCCTCAGTTTCCCTGGCACAGGTGGCAGGGCAGGATGGGTCCCCATGCTGGGCACTGCAGGAGCACTGGGATCTGTCCCACTACGGGGCAGTCCCCCGGCACAGGGATCCCACACACAAGAGGTGCTGATGGGCACAGAGATGCCCCTCACTGGGTGCTTACGGGCATGGGGATCCCATATGCTGGGCACATTTTTGGGCACAGGGATCTCACACAGACTGAGCACTTCACAGGCATAGAGGTCCCAGGTGCCGGGTGCTTATGGACACAGGGATCCCCCATACTGGGCTCTTTATGGACACAGGGATCTCTCATGCCAGGTGAGTTATTAGTACACGAGTCCCCTCAAGACTGGGCACACGGGTGCCCCATTGTGGGTGCTACAGCACGGGGACACCCCCACCTCTCCACTTACTCTGTAAGGACACAGGGATCGCAGCAGATCCCTTTGCATGAAGCACCGTACAGCAGATGCCAGCGGGTCCCATCCAGCCAGGCACTGCAGGGGCCCGCGGTGCGGGTTTGCAGGGAGTGGGGGTCCCAGTGACACGCTGAGTGGGATACAAGGAGGGACAAAGAACATGCCCGGCACCCTGGCATGCACAGGCACGGTTTAACCGCCCACTGCCCGCAGCAGGCAGGGCCAGCTCCAGCCCCTACCCCAACCCCCCCCATCCCCGGAGCTCACCCCAGCTCCGTGCCCCCCATCCATGCAGACCCTAACCGTAAAGCCGTGCTCGGCGGAGCCCGCTTACCTCCCGGTGGCGGCAGGCGCGGAGGGGCAGGAGGCAGGACACCAAGGACTTCCCCCAGCTGACCAAGGTGGCAAAGCACCAGCGCAGCCGGGTCATGGTGCCCCTGCCCGGGGGTCACCCCGCGGGGAGGGGGGAGCGGGGTGGGCAGCGGCCGGCCCCTGCCCAGGGCACGCTCGGGGTGGCGGCAAACCCAGCCGTGTGCCCCCCCCCGGCCCGACTGCAACAAGCTCCGGTGCCCGGGCAGTGCCCAGAAGGTGCCCGGCGGTGGGCACGGGGCCGTGCGGCGATGGGCTGGGGGTCTGCGGTCCCACCGGGCCCTGTCCCCCCCTCCGGTCCCCCAGCGTCGCCTGCGCGCTGGCAGCCAGGCAGGGAGCACCGTGCCCGCCCATGTCCTGCAGTGCTTGGGTGGGAGCCAGCTCCGCCACGCTCCCCCTCCTCCTCCTCCTCCCCCTCCTCCTCCTTCTCCTCCTGCTCCCCCCCCCCGGCTCGCACACGGGGCTCGGGGCTCGGCACCCTCCGGACTCACCCGCCTGCGCTCCGGGGCACAGCATCCCCTGGGGTGGATGCCGGACAATGCCCCCCTTTCCAGCCCCCTCTGGTTTGGGGGTGGAGAAACCCAGCCGCCTGTGTATGCTCCATCGCAGTGCAACCCTAAACCCCCACCCCGACCCTGCCTCAGTTTCCCTCCGGCAGCTCCTGCCTACCCCAAACTCTAAATGGCAGTGCCTGCACATGGACGGGGGGTGGGGGGAGAGCTTCCCTGCCCCTCTACCAGCCCCCTGGCATCCTACCAAACCTCTCCCCTTCCCAGGAGCTTGAGGACACATTCAGGGACCCCCCTGACCTAGCCTAGCCCCCAGCGGGTGCCTGGCTGATGCACCATGCTGTGGCCACAGTGTTACCCAGGGGAACCCCTTACTGCAGGACACCCCTACATGGCCCTGGGCACCCCTACCCCACCATGGAACTCACACAGGGCAGGGGGATGGGGTGCAGTGGGCACCCCCTACACACACCCCACACATCCACTGGGGTTGTGCCAAAGGGGGTCTGGCAGCAGCCCCCCCATGTGCCCTTGTGCTGCCACCATGATGCCGGGCAAGGATCCATCCCCACGGGGCAGCTGCCGGTGCCAAGCGTGGGCAGTGGCAGTGCCAGGCCTGGGCACTAATTACATTTGCCTCGGGAGGGCTCCTAACGAGCGGCAGCACCAAAGAGGGGGGCAGGGAGTTTGGGGGTCCCACACACCTCATGGCTGTCCCCCAACCCTGCTTGGCACCCAGGGGCTGGCAGAGGGCTTGGTGGGCGGGGGGTGCTCAGGTACAGCTCCCCCAACCGAAGCACCAGGGAGGTGACATCACCGCTGGCTCCATGGTCCCTCACCCCCATTTAATTAGCAGATGGCCCCCGGCCCCCCCGGCCGGGCATCGCCAGGCCTGTGCGGGGCCATTAGCTTTATTGGCTGCACTGAACCAGGGCCAGGCCTCATTAATTGAATTGCACCCGCGCCAAGGACAGGCAGGCGTCTTATCCCCCCACAGCCCCCCCCACCACCCCAGCCCTTGGATGGAGCAGGGACAGGGGACCCCACTGCCAGGCCGTTGTGTCAGGGTCCTGCCGGTGGGGTGCCTGGTGTGGGGCAGACAGAGCTGGCAGGTGGGTGCACCCATGGGCAGACACGTGTGTGTGCATACATACATGGGTGCCCTGTTTAGCCTCATGCCCACTACATGTATATGGCTTGCATGTACACATGCACCCCTATAGCCTGCACATATATGCAATCACACACATGCATGCACACACATATGCATATCCCCCCCTCCCCCCGCCCCCAGCACAGTGTTGTGATGTTCTGCTCCCCCCCAACACCCTGTCCACCCCCTGCGATCCTATGTGTGGTACTGAGCTCATGGAGCTCACAGCACCATGCACTGCAGGATGGCATGGGCAAAAGAGGGTGCTGAGGAGATTGGGGTCACCCCAAGCACTGCCACCAGCTCCCTCCCACAGCCCAACACCCCCCCCCTCCAGGCACCAGGAGGATGCGGGGAGGCCCAGGCTCCCACTCAGCATCACTTCCTACTTTCACTTTGGTGCCGAGCATCGGCCTTGCTTGAGGGAGGCAAGTGCCCCCCAGGCCCCCATTACACAGGTAGGTGCTGCAAGGTGGGGTATGGTGGGGGCCAGGATGTGGGGGCATCTCGGTGTCACTGGTGGCATCCACCAAACAGGATGGTGGTGGGGAGCAGAATAGTAGTGAGTCCCCATGCCTGGCACTAGTGGGGTGAGCTGGCATCACCCCTGTCCACCTCATCCCAGGGGGTTTAGTCCCCAGCCCAGAAGGAGCCCGTAGAACAGGGCTGGCACAGCAAAGTGGGACAGGCACAGTAGTGGAGGGGCACTGCCGGGCTGGGGACCCCCAGGCACAGATAGCAAAGGGGGGGCAGGGAGCCTTGCCCAGGGTGCCTCAGGAAACGTTTGCAGCTGAGCTCTGAGCATAGCCCCCACATTGGGGCAGATGGCTGGGGTCTGTGGGCCTTGCTGGGGTGTGCTGCAGCTCGTCATGGTGGTGTCCCTCTGTGCCAGGACCTGCTGCCGCCCAAGGGCTGCTGTTGGTTGCTGATAGCTGGGTATGGGACCTGGACCCCCCTCCCTAGAACTGCAGGGAGTCCCTCAAAGCATTCCCACACCCCATTCCCATGGGAGGGCGTCAGGGTCCCCCCAAGCCTTGCACTGCATCCTCGAAGGGATATAGGCAAGGGCTGCACAGGGGGACCAGCCTCGCTGATGCCCTCCCCATAGCTGGCACCCACTAATGAGGGAGCTGGGTGCCACGGGCCAAGCTGCAGTGCCTGATGTGATGTGAGGCAGGAGGGGGGTGGCTCCTGCAGCCCCCCCTCCTCCCCCAACCTTCCACACTTCCTCTTGGCCAAGGTACAAAAGGAGAAGCAGGCGGGCACAGGGACACACCAGGGTACCCCCAGCACCCAACAAGCACCTCGGGGCCCCCCGCAGCTCCCGGGCACAGGTAAGGGGCTCTTCCTCACGGGGAAACTGAGGCAGGGGCAGGGGGGGGCCAGGCTGGAAGATTGCTTGTCCAAGGTCACCCAAGGGCACCGGGATGGGAGCCCAGGCAGCTGGAATCTCCTGCTATGCCATGGCAGGGACAAAGGGCACTCATGCACTCTTGAGCATGCTTGGGCACGCTTCTGCACACACATTCCCGTGAGGGCACACACCCCCTGCAGCACAAACCCCCATGCACACACATGTGTGTTCCCCAGCCCTGTGCCCAGCCACCACCTGCAGTGTCAAGCCCCAGACCTGCCACCTCCATGGGCACTGTCTCTAGCCCTGTCTCCAGGGTGCCACCCCTCAAAACCACCCCACTGCACTGTGCCCCCCACAGCACCCCAAACCCTGTGCCAGCCCCGCAGGCAGCATGCTGTGCCAAGGGGCTCTGCCCTGGGGGGGAGCTCAGTTTGGGAGCCTGCGTGATGGGGGCTGTGTGCCCCCCTTCCCCACCCCACCTCCCAGGAGCCCCCATCGCTGGGTGTGGTGTGAGTGAGGGAACTGAGAGCAGAAACAGAGGCAGTGCTTCCCCAGCGCCAACCCATATCCTGAATCCTTCAGGACAGGGACACACTGGGAGGTCCCCGAGGGAATGGGAACAGAGGCTGGGCACAGTGTGGGACAGAGCCTGGGGGCATTTTATGGACAACTAAAGGGACACAGGGTAGGGCACCTTTGCACACCCCACACCTCCTACCCCATGTAGATGGAGGAGACAGGCAGGGAAAGGGGGTGCCTGAGCCCACCCCTCTGACCTTAACAGTAGGCAGCTCTGGGATGGAGCTGGAGGGACAGACCCTCTCCTTGGGGAAGAGCTTGGGGTGCCAGGTGACTGTCACCCTGGAGCCTTTTATTGCTGCCCCTGCCTTTGCAGACCCCCGGGGACAGCCATGGCAGGGGATGGAGAGCTCAACCGCATCATCAAGGACCTGCAAAGTAAGTGTGCCAGCCTGTGCCCTGCTAGCGTGTCCCCAGCCAGCCTGTCCCCTGCATGGCACATCTCACACTGACCATGCCAGGTCCCTCCTCACACCCAGACCATGGGCAGCACATGCCACTGCTGCCAGCCCTGGTGGGTGCCATTCACTTCCCTGCTCCCCCATTTCATCCCAGGGCAGGTTCCTCTTTCACCCACTGTCAGAAATCCCCGGGCTGGGAGCCAGGAGGTGGTGGGAGATGTGGGATGGAGCAGGGTGCCCACTGCCTGGGCAGGGCGCTGCCAGCTCAGCCCTGCCATCCCACAGGGACTGTGGCTGAGCTGAACCACTGCTACAGGGAGCGGAACCTGCCAGTGACAGATGGGAGCCGGGAGCTGCACGGCCTCTGTGCCCAGCTGGAGTTCCTCCTCCAGGTACCTCTGCTCCCCTGTGCCCACTGCTCCCTGCCTCAGTTTCCCCTGTGGCACAGCTGAGAGCAGAGGGGACCCTATGCTGGCTGTTTCGTGGATTGGGATGATCCCAGCTGGCATTATCCAGCCCTGGGCATCCCCAGCCAGACAAGCAATCGGATCAGTCTCACCCACATCCATGTGTGTCCTCCTTGGAACAAGTCCAGAGGAGGGCCACGAGAATGATCAGGGGACTGGAGCACCTCCCGTATGAAGATCGGCTGAGAAAGTTGGGGCTGTTCAGCCTGGAGAAGAGAAGGCTGCGTGGAGACCTCATAGCAGCCTTCCAGTATCTGAAGGGGGCCTATAGGGATGCTGGGGATGGACCCTTCATTATGGACTGTAGTGATAGGACAAAGGGTAATGGGTTAAAACTTAAACAGGGGAAGTTTAGATTGGATATAAGGAGGAAATTCTTTCCTGTTAGGGTGGTGAGGCACTGGAATGGGTTGCCCAATGAAGCTGTGAATGTTCCATCCCTGGCGATGCTCAAGGCCAGGACAGAGCCTTGGGTGACATGGCTTAGTGTGAGGTGTCCCTGCCCATGGCAGGGGGGTTGGAACTTGATGATCTTAAGGTCCTTTCCAACACAAACCATTCTATGATTCTATGTGTAATTGCACATGCCGCAAAAGGGGAACTGAGGCACAGAGCCAGCCCAGAGGGAACAGCCAGAGGACACTGTCCTGGCTGGGGTAGCTGGCTGGATCCCAGCCCCACAGGTACAGACTGGGGGGATAGGGAACACCCCCAAACAAGCAAGCCCAAGCTTGTGTTTCTGCCAGTTTGACCTCAAGGAAAAGAAGAGCTTCTTTGGGCAGCGCAAGGACTATTGGGACTTCTTGTGCCAGGGCCTGGCACAGCGCCGGCAGGAGCATGAGGGCATTCGCTTCGTCAGCTCCCTGGACAAGGTGGGCACACACAAATGCAGCTGCCTCTGCTTGTTTGGGGGTGCACACGCACTTGGGCACTCAGGATAAAAGGAGGAAATTCTTTACTGTGAGGGTGGTGAGGCACTGGAACAAGGAAGCTGTGGCAGTTCCATCCCTGCCAGTGTTCAAGGCCAGGCTGGACAGGGCTTAGAGCAACCTGCTCTAGTGGAAGGTGTCCCTGCCAATGGCAGAGGGGTTGGAAGTGGATGATCCATAGAAGGTCCTTTCCAGCCCAAACCATTCAGTGATTCTATGGTTCACACAGCAGTGCTACAAAGGGTTTTCTCCCCTCTGGGGTTCCCACTGCCCCCAGTGGGTGTTCTGGCTCTGGAGACCCTCTTCCTCCCTTCATGGGCTGTTGGGGGGGAAGGTGTGTGGGGAGCAGACTGGCACGGCAGGGCTGGATGACCTCCTCTCCCCCCAGCTGAAGACCCCAGTGGGCAGGGGCCGAGCCTTCCTGCGGTACTGTCTGGTGCACCGGCAGCTGGCAGAGTCCCTGCAGCTCTGCCTTCTCGACCCAGAGAGCCTTCGGTGAGAGAAGGGGCATGGGGATGGGATGCTTATCGTGGCATCAGTCACAGCACCCAGCTGTCAAGGGCGCTGCAGGCGTGTGTGCCCCCTCAGGGTTGCAGAGGGCTGCATGAGCCTGTTTGTGGTTGCAGTGAGTGGTACTACGCCCGCAGCCCCTTCCTGAGCCCCCAGCACCGGGCAGAGATCCTGGGCATCCTGTACGAGCTGGACTGTGTCACCTTCCACCTGGCCCTGTGCAGAGATGACCTGGACACTGCCTGGCCCATGTTCTCTGAGTGAGCCTGGGGGTGTGGGAGGCACCAGGGGGTGACAGGGCCATCAGGGGTACTGGGGCTCAGCATAGCAGAGCAACACACAGGCCCATGTGGCACTGCAGCTGTGCCAGCCCTCCATATGTGGCCATGGGTAGGCACAGACACCCGTGCCAGCATGCACACACCGTGCCTGTGCCTTCAAAGATGCCATGTGTGCGTGCACAAACACACAGCAACCCTGGTCCCCTGTCACCAGGTGCCACCCGGTGTAACCAGCCCTTCTGCCCTCTCCATCCCCAAAGGCTGGCTGTGCCCAGGGAGCCCTGCAGGGGGGTGTCAGTGCTCTGCTCACCCTAGGGGTGACCTGGTGGACCTGAAACCCATGTCCCCTCTAGGACACTGGTACGACCCAGCTTGGTGGCTGGGAGCAGCCTGGCAAAGACAGCCCCACAGGCAGATGATGCTGACACCAGGATGCATGGATGGCCTGATGGCATCGCCCATTTCACCACGGCACTCTGTAAGGTGCCGGTCTACCCGTGCTCACCCACCTTGGCTGCCCTGGAGGCAGGGGGTGTAGAGGTGGAGGATGTGAAAGGGAATGTGGAGGACATGGAAGGGAGGAAGGATGTGGAAGAGGAAGATGAGGTGGAGAAGGATGAAGATGAGGAAGTGGAACGGGATGTGGATGTGAAGGTAGAGGAGGATGTGGAAGAGGAGGATGGAAAGGAATTTGAGGAGGATGAGAAGGAAATGGAGGATGAGGAAGAGGTGGAGGACATGGAGGTAAATGTGAAGAAGGATATGGAAGTAGAGGAGGATGTGGAAGAAGATGATGAAGAGGAGTTGGGCAAGGATGAAGAGGAGGTGGAGGAGGTGGAGGTAAATGCGAAGAAGGACGTGGAAGTAGAGGAGGATGTGGAAGAAGATGGTGCAGAGGAGTTTGAGAAGGATGAGGAGGATCTGGAGGACGTGGATGCAGAGGAGCAGGAGGACACACAGAGCGCTGGCAAAGCACCCCAGTGTGATGGGGACAGGGATTCTGGCGCATCACCACCACCCAGCACAGGGTGCGTGCTGGGCTCCCTGCCACCAGAGCCCAGGCAGCTGGGTGGGACAGAGGAGTCCCTGTGGGCGCTTGTGTCCCAGCTGCGTGCTGAGCTGGAGCAGTGGAAGGCATCATCCCGGGCCCTGGCAGCGCGGCTGGCACGGGAGCAGCGGCGGCACAGGCGGCAGGAGGAGGGCAGCGCGCGGCAGGCCCAGCTGCTGGCACGGGAGGCCGAGGCGCTGCGGGACACCAACACCTTCCTGGGACAGGCACTGGCGGCGGTGGTGGGAGCGGGGGCACCGGGGGCGCTGGCCCAAGCCCAGGAGGAGGCACGGGTCTGGCGGGAGGTGGCAGAGGAGCAGGGTGCCCAGCTGGCTGCGGCACGGGCAGAGGTGGCAGCGGTGTCCTCGCACCTGCGGGAATGCCAGGCGGCGCTGGCAGCTGCGGCACAAACGGACATGCCAAAGGATGCCAGTGCCTCGGATGAGGTGGCTGCCGTGGAGGAGGTGCTGCAGTGGGCACTGGAGATCGCCTGTGGTCCCCAGGAGTCCCTGCCAGAACAACAGGCAGAGGGGGAGTCCAGAACAGCCACCAGCATGGCCATGGTATGGACAAGCCCGAGGGGACCCTACAGGGTCGAGGGGTTGGGGAGCCATGGCTGAGCCTCTCCTCTCCCACAGCGCTTGGCCACCCTGGCCACAGCAGTGCGGAAGGAGGCCTGGCAGAGCCAGCAGCAGCTCCAGGCCAAGAGGCAAGAGGTGGCACAGCTGCAGGAGCAGCTCAGCAGGTTGGGCAGGGAACCCCTGCACCCACCACCCATCTCCACCCATCATAGGCTTTCCCCTGGGACCCTCCATGATGCTACACTTGAACCCAGGGGAGCAGCCCCTGGGGATTGGCAGGGGAAGGATATGGGGAAGGAGGGCTGGAGGGAGGATTCAGTCTGGGGACTCATAGGTGGAGGGATGGAATAATTCATTTGGGGCAAGTAGATGGGCAAAGGGATGGAAGAGTGGATGGAGGGATGAATTTGGGGTGAATAAATTGATGGGTGGGTACACAGAGGGGTGGAGGGATGAATGTGGGACAAGTAGATGGAGAAATGGAGGGATGGATGGGCAGAAGTCCAGATGGCAGATGAACAACTGGTAGATGGATGGATGGATGTCCCAGCAGATGGTAAGGTGGCTGTGGCGGTAGGGAGCCAGTTTGGGGATGAATGGGCAGCGGATAAAGGGAGAGAGAGAGGCATGAATGGATGGATGGAGGGACAGCCAGCTGAGGGACAGGGGCACCGTCTTCCCCCTGCTCTGCACCAGGGCCCGGCAGGATGGCGAGCGCTGGGCATCGGCTCTGCAGCGGGCGCAGCGAGAGGCTCTGGAGCGGGAGGCCACACGTGGTGCGGAGCAGGCACGGCAGCAGGAGCTCATCCGGGACATGAAGGGGCGGCTGCTGGAGCTGCTGCGGTGAGAGCCCCGGGTACCCCACACGTGTGCGACCATGCACGGGCAGGAGGACCAAACAAACCCTTCTGCCCAGAGGAGGGCACCAGAGCTCAGGAGAATCCTGATCACCACCTTGGGTCTGGGGTGTCAGGGCATGCTTATGAACCTCCACCACCAGGCATGCTCCTGCCAGGGCTGACCTGTGCTCTCCCACAGGGAGAAGGATGCCCTGTGGCAGAAGACAGAGGGCATCACCACCGCGATGCCCAGCCCAGCACCCCGCGATGCAGGGCTGTGCGCCCACTGCCACAAGGATTTCCGTCTCCTCTCCCGGCGGTACAACTGCAGGTGGGCTATGGGGGGCACCAGGCATGGCACTGGCATGGCACGGCTCTCACTGCCTGCTCTCTCGGCAGGTTATGCCAGGGTAAGGTATGCCACGCGTGCTCTGTGGACGTGGGCAAGCAGGGGCGCTGCTGCCTGCTTTGCTACCAGCAAAGGCACCCACAGGGTGTATGAGTCAGGACTGCAACCCTCACACTGGGCCTGGAATTACCCCTGCCCTGACTGCCTCCTCTCAGACTTGCTGGGGACCAGAGTGCTCAGGGCCTGCAGGCTGGTCCTGCTGCCTGGCTTTACAGGCTGAGATGTGTCTTTCTTGTGGCTGGTCCACAGAGAAGAAAACAACACACTCCTGCTACCCCTGTGACTCCTGTGTCATCTATTGGCTGTCGACAGATGAACGAACAGCATGGAGTGTCCAAGCCCTCCCGAGGGAGGACTATCCCCATAAGGGGTGTCCCAGCTGCAGCTGCCATCTGCCCCATCCCACACTGGGAAGCAGCAGTGGGCAGGGGACACAGCTCTTGGCCAACAACCCTGGCTTCCTGCCATGCTGCAAGGAACCGCTTGGGCAAGCGTTTCCCAGACGCAAAGGTGATGGGCTGTCCCTGCCCTGCCCTGAGTCCCCAGGGCTGCCCACGTGGGTGCCAGGGGAATCCCATACCCATCCATGAGCCAGCATACAGCTGGCACCCACTGATGCTCCCACGGTTAAGGACCCCCAGGAGCCTGAATCGGGCACTATGGAGGAGCAGGACAGGACTCCTGGGAGAGATGCTTGGCACGCTGGTGCAGGCACCCTAATGCCTGGTATACAGGGTGGCAGGAGGGACCCCAGTAGGGTCTCAGCCCTCTCTTCAGCCTCTCTGTCCTACGCTAGTGCCAGCCCCAGTTGCCCAAGCCAGGGCAGAAACATCACGGTTGTGTAAGTGACAGGTTCCCAGCCTTTTGCACAATGATGTCCTGTCACTGCAGCATCGGGGGGGTGGAGGGGAGCAGGGAGTGTTCCGGGTGCTGGCCCTCTTCTGGCAGGGGTCACAGGGCTGTCTTGGTCTCAGCAAGGGGCTGCCCAGGAATCTTGCAGTGATTTGCTCCAGTGGGGCTCAGATCGGGATCAGTAAGGGAGTGGCTTTGTCCCCAGGTGGGACAAATGCTGAACAGAGACCCCTGCACCAGAGATGTGCCAGGACATGGCTGGGTGGCTGCAGGGATAGAGACCTCTGGGATCATGTAGGATGCTGCTTCCCCTGGCCTGGAAGTGGGGTTACCCACACCCCACCGGGCTCAGCTGGCACCACTGCTTTGGCACTGAGGTGGGCAGCCCAGGACCCACCGTCCCCAGAGTTGTGTCCTGGCCCCATTGCAGCACTTCCCTCCCTTTGGCAAAAGGGACCCAGGTCTGGGTGACCAACCCACCAACTCCTTTATTGCTGGATGGCCATCGACCGCAAACACCATCCCCACAGCAGGGGAGCAGAATCCCAGAAGTCACAGGCTCTGCCCCTGAGTGGGGACAGCGGGCAGTGCTTGGCATCACTCCCCAGGCAGTGGGGTTGTACTGCCTCACTGCACAAGCCCCTTTCCAGCCAGGTTCCAGCATCCACTGGTGGCCATGCACATCCCCCTGCCATTGCCACCTGCATCTTGGGGGCTGGCTGAGAGTGCTGGTGGATGTGAGGTGCTGGGACCTGCTGGGAGTCACGAGGGTCAGGCCCCAGCAGGGCTCAGAGGGTGGTGGAGGTGTTGCCAGAGGTGGAGGCGTAGGAGGCGCGGCCGTAGCGGGCCACAGCATCCTTGCTGATGAGCCCACGCTGTGCCAAGATCTTGAGGAAGCTGTTGCGAAACTTCTGCCCGATAAAGGCGTAGATAATGGGGTTAATGCAGCTGTGGGAGAAGCCCAGGACTTGTGTGATGGAGAGGGCTGTGTCAATGCGATTCCTCCGCTCGCAGGTCTCGGTGATGGCCTGTGTCCTCATGAGAGTGTCACTCACCAGAGTGATGTTGTAAGGCAGCCAGCAGATGAGGAAGACCAGCACCACGGCAAAGATGACCTTCATGGCCCGCTGCTTCTGTGCATTCTTGGTCTGCAGGAGGGTGTGGATGGTGACACCATAGCAGAAGAGCATCACCAGGAGGGGCAGGGCGAAGCCGAAGGTCTGCGGCAGGACCCGCAGCACCACGCGCCACTTGGTCGTGTCCTCGTTGCCGATGCTCTCGTAGCACACGGTGCCATTGTTGGGAGAAGTGAAAACTTCACGGAAGAGCAGCACAGGCAGGGAAAGCAGCACGGAGAACACCCAGATGCCCAAGCAAACAAACTTCACCCAGTGCCTCTTCTCGGTGGCAGCCCGGGTGGCATAAACAATGGCCAGGTAGCGGTCCACGCTAATGCAGGCCAGCAGCAGGATGCCACTGTAGAAGTTGGCCTCCTGCAGCACGGAGATGGCTTTGCACATCACAGTGCCAAAGACCCACTCGTGGGCTCGATAGGCAGCCCAGAGGGGCAGGCTGAAGGCAAAGAGCAGGTCTGCCACAGCCAGGTTGAGCAGGTAGACGTCGGTGACGGAGCGGCTGGTGTGGCTGGAGTTCACCACCAGCACCACCAGCCCGTTCCCCACCACGCTGAGGATGAAGACGAGGCAGTAGATCACCACCACCAGGTACTTGTTGAGAACGGAGGTGTCAGGCCGGCACGGGGCAGAGGAGATAGCAGTGTCAGGCATGGCCGTGCTGTAGTCATAGGTGTAGTTGTAGAAGGAGAAGAACTTGGATAAATCCCCACTGAAGGAGAAGGATTCCATTTTGCCTGTGGAGCACAAAGCAGCATGACTGGGGGAGGAGCTGGTGTGGGCCAGTGGTGACAGTGTCTCTGGGTCCTCCTGGCATCCCTGTTGCCTGCCAGGTCCCCTCCCAGCCAGTGAGAAACCCCCCTCCATCATTCCACTGTATCAATGCTGTGCCAGGTAATGACACTGCAGGTGGACACTGTCCCTCATATGCCCACTTGTACAACACCCCCAGCACTCCTCGGACACCTCAACCCTGTCCTTTCCTTGTCCCCCATGGAAGAAGGGGTTCCCCCACAGACTGGCCACCTCTCCTTGCGTTTGGGGGGGTTCCATGCAGCCATCATGTCCTTCCAGGAATCACCTGGTCCCTCCAGCATCCCTGGATCCCCCTGATTTGTGTAGGTCCTTCAAGACCCTCTGAGCTCTTTGGGCATCTCAAAAGCCCTTCAAGCGCCTCTGGATCCCTCCAGCCTCTCCATCCCCTCGATCATCACCACTGCAGCTGCACCCCCTGCCACCCCAGCTAGCATCAAGATTGCAGTCATGGTGCCCAGAGCAGGCAGCACTTGAGAAGGTCTAAAGGCGGTTTCACACCCTCCTTCCGCTTCCCCTGTGTCCTGCCCCAGCATGAGTAGTTTCACCCCCCGGACGGAAGGCCATGTCACCCTTTGCAGGCAGCTTTGGAAATACTTCATGTCTCTGGTTTTCCTGTTGCTCAGCTCGGTGGTGCTGGACATGCCAGTGTCCCCTGCGCTAAGCCGTGACGAGGAAATCACAGGTGAGAGTAGTCCTTCTTGTCTTCTCATGTAGGACATCCTGCTCTGCCTCTGCCTCCATTGAGTTTCAGCCCTCTCCCAGTATGGATCTGGGCTCACATTTCACTCCGGTTTCACCCATCTGCCCCATTTCTGAGCCCGCAAGCCCCTGCAGAGCTTGGTGATGCCAGCGCTGCTTGGGGGTGCTGAGTCTCCACAGTACTGGAGGGTCTCTGGTCCCGAGCTGGCCCTGTCTGAGCCCAAACCCTCCCTGGGACCACCTTTCTCCTTCTGCCCAGCAGAAATTCCCTGCTGCAGCTGGGCAGGTGCCCCTGCCCAGAAAAACCCCTGGCTTTGCCAGCCCCATTCCAGTGGTGGTCCCAGGATGGTGATCCTGGGATGGTGATGCCCCAGCATCCCAGAGATCTGCATCCGGGAACACTGCCAGCGATGATGGGGGAAGGTCCTCCCAAGCAGGACTGCTGCAGTCGTGGGGTAGAACCGGACACCAGAGCTTCCCCTCAAGTTATTTTTGGCTGCTTCTTTCTGCCTCCCCACTCCAAAATCCCAGCGGTTCCTCTGGGACCAGGCATTCCCCACCCACAGATACCCTGCAGATGGCCCAGCTGGGGGAACAAGCAGCACCCCATTTCCCTTCCTGACCCCAGAAGAGTTGGTGGGATGCTGGGGTGGCCTTGGGGGTCCCCATAGGATATGAGGAAGGAGGGATATGGCAATAGGAAGGAGGGAGATGGCATGGGGAAGTGCTCTCCATGCGAGGAAATGGGAGCAGGCTTTTCCCCCTGGGGCAGGCATGGTTGATGTTCTTGGGGACCATAGGGGTTCTGCACCCCAGATGATCCCCAAGCACAGCCCTGGGGGCCCCCACCCACCACCTCCCACTGCCCCCCCAGCAGGCAGCCCCTCGGGTAGCCAGAGCAGCCCACCCTGGCCCCCAGACCAGCCCGCTCCACGTGTGAGGGGTCTCAGATGAGTGCTGGGGAGCCACCAAAGCCTGAGGACAGCCCCGGTCTCCAGAGGAGCACCCCAGGGACTCACCGCTTGCTGCCCTTGCTGTCCCTCAAATCGGGGGTCTTCTCCTGGTCCCAAGCTAGTTCGCACTAAGAAACTCCAGGGCACGGGGTGAATCCAAGCGTTACCCGCAAAGGGCTCCGGCACGGAGGGTCACCAGGCCAGCCAGAGGGGCTCTCACCTGAGGCCGCTGCCGTGCCACCTCTCGGCACCCCTTCCTTCCCCAGCCCGCTTTATGCTGCTCGGGGAGGAAGCGAGGTTGCAAAAGCTTCACCCAGAGTGAAGGGGAAGTGGCAGCCAGAAGGGACCCTTCTGCACCCCCTCAGGATACCTTCCCCAGCACCAGGGCTGGGGGGAACCCGCAGCCCCCCTGCCACCCTCCTGCCCAGGGTGTCCCAGAACCCCTGGCAGCAGGTGACACCAGGGTGCACCCAGGGGTGCATCACCCCCCTGCAGTGATGCACCCTGGGGGTCTCCAGCTGGGGGTCTCCACTTTGTCCCCTTGCCTGCAGTGAATGCAGGGCTCCCTTTCGAGCCTCCCCCAGGGGCTACAGCCCCCCCCGGGAGAGTGGAGCCCCCCTGGGGTGTTGGGGCAGGCCAGCGGCCAAAGGCAGGGCAGGGCTCCGTGCCGTGGGTTCCTGATACAGCGGGGATTGGGGGACGATGGGGCTGGCTTGCCCCTGCTGGAGCCTGCTGCGGGAGATCCGCCAGGAGCGGAGCCCCTTGTCCCTCCCGCCCTGTGCCGAGCCTAGCCCAGCCGAGCCGTGCCGTCAGACGGAGCC